AACGAAAGACAGTTCGATTTTGAACCTTCTGCAGGGCGTCATAGATTATATAATTGATTTGGAATCGAATCTCGAATATGGAACTAAACTGAAGGTGTATGAAAATATTAAAGAACAATTAAAACCACAGCGAGACGTGTATAGGCCACAACGACTACCACCACAACCACAACAACCACAACCACTACAGCAGCATCCACATTGTAAACAATATAATCATCATCAGCATTTTCATAGTCATCCCCATCCTCATCTTCAACGTTAATTGATATGTTAATTTATGTGCATAAATTATCTAAATCTGTTGTTACTGTGGTTACCTTTATTTATCCATGCAGCTGCTTTGTTGAATTATCTTTGAAATAATCGCATGTACAATTTAAACTGTATTGTATATAGCCAACCATAATTTTTTAAAGAATAATATAAAAAACCTCAATTGTCATATCGTTGATAAGAGATAATTTTATTTGTAAAAAACAAATTTAGTGTTCTTGTTAAAAATGGCAAATAATCACTTACAAAAAGATCAATTTCAGGATTTGAAATTTTAGTACCGAAACTGCCTGGCACCTATTCTTTCAATTCTGAAAGAGAAACACCAAATGATGAATAAATAACGATAACTATAGACAAGATGCAGGCTAAATTACTATAGCTCAATTTTTATGTACAACTCAGAGTTTGATAATCACTTGATTTAAAAAAATATTAAACCCAACATCTTTGTTCATGAAAATATATAATTAAAATGTCTTATTTTTCCACGAAAAATGATGTTCTTAATATAAAAATTTCAGCTGTACAATTGGTTCAATATAAATATAATGAATTTTTGACGTTTAAGTCAGTCTCAGTGCCCCTTTCGTTTTCAAGTTGAATTAGAAAAAAGAAAAAAAAGAATGATGGGGCATTTCTGTATATAAACATAATCATTTCTAGTTTTCCAGTCTGAAGTTTTCATGTTGTGGTTTAAGCTACTACAGGGATTTTCTCTGATTTCATGTTAAAATTGTGTTTCAAAATTGTTGGCACAAATAAGTATTTTAACGTTTAACTTCAAAAAATATATTTTTATGTAGAATGTTTTAAAATCCTAAAGTTGTCATTTTTTATTTGATGGCTTACAATAGTTAGTTTGTTGGGGTTTTTAAAAAGACCTTTGCACCAAATTGGCACAATGCAACGTGCTACATCGCTCTAATTGCGTTTGTGTTGAAACATTAAAAAAGTTCTTAATTATTTAAATGTAGAATTTTGAAGCGCAATAATATTTTTATTTGAATCTAATTACATCGGTTTTAATAAAAATATTTTTGGCGAAAATATATTTAATCTTAAAAATGAGCTGCTTCGGAGGAATCATGAACGAGTATAAATTCCTCTCTATCGACCGGTTTGACAGTGTAAATCTGAAGTCCTCAGTCTTCATGCTCTCACACAATCACTCAGGTTCGTGTTCAGTGGGGACGGTTCATCTCTTATCTAGAATCACTTTTTGATTTGTTTTCATTTTTGCTTATTTTTAGGATTTATTTGTTTAAAAAAATGGCTAGTGATCAATTCCAGCTCTCTTGTTTTGTATTTACTATTTATATTTATATAATTAATTTATTTCCTGATCCTGATGAAATAATTTAAAATAAATATATATAAATAAATATATATAATATAAATTAGGAATTACTTTCAGTTCAGTAGTTTTCATTTTTATCCTCAGTTAATTATTATCTGAATTATTAATTTTTTTATTAATTAAGATTAAGAGATTATTGATTTAATATTAATTAAATTTAATTAATTAAATGTTCACTGGCCGTACCACAGATCACACAATTGGACTTGCATCTGCTGAATTCAAATCTCGACTTCTGACAAAGTAAACACTATTCAATTTACTCTTTCTATTTCCATCTTACTTCAAAACATTTTATTTACTTTTGTATTGCAAGAGGTTGAATAACATTTTTCAGTTATCATTGTATATTATTATTGTTATTATTGAAATAAAAGTATAATACATTTCAATTTAATATTCTTATTTTAACACTTTTATTTTTTTCGCAATGATTTAGTTAGACTCGTTTAGATTTTTTTCATTTAATCTTTTTCACCTTAGCTGAAGTTTTTAGAGAATAAAATATATTTCCATTATTATTATCATTATTAATAATAATAATATTACATCCTACTACCTCGGGGGAACTGGGTCTCTGGATGCTAAACGAAGATTGATTGATTATTGGTATTATTATAATTATTAAATTTAATTTTTCTTAGCCCCGCAGTTAAGTTGTACTGCTCAGAAGTTTCTAGAAATTTACTACTGATCAATTCTATCTATGATGAGATCAAAGAATCCATAGTTGGTGTTTGATGGTTCTTTTTTCAGTCTCGATCAATTTTTACAATTTAATTTATATATATATTTATTTAGTTTTTTTGTTCATAATTATTATTATTATCATCATTATTATTTATCTGCAATTATAACATGTTTTAAAAGTCAATCTTAATAAATTGATAATTTACTTATTAGATTGCTCTACCAGTCAACTCGCCGACGATTTTAAAGATTCCAAATGACAATGATGACAAAAATTATGTGAGAAATTGTAGTTTATTTGTTTATTTAATTATTCATATATTTATCCATTTATTTATTCATTCATTCATTCAATAAGTTAAAATTTTTTAATTTTAAAAATTGTTAAATAAATTAATAAAATGAATGAATATAGATGGACCAAACGATAACAGTCACATGCTTGCAGGCTGGTCACTGCCCTGGTTCTGTCATGTAAGATGATGATGATGATGATGGTGGTGGTGATAATGATTAAGATGGTGATGTTGAGGTGAAGATAATGATGGTTCTGTCATGTAAGATGATGGTGGTGGTGGTGATAGTGATTAAGATGATAATGGTGAAGATGATGACGACGATGATGTTGTCGATAGTGTGGCTTGAAATTATGAGGACAGAGGGGACGTAGATTATGATAGTGATGATGAGGATGGTGGCGACGATGATGATTATATTTAGAATTATCATCATCATCATTACCGTCCACCTTCCAGGTTCCTCATTCAAGGGTCAGAAGGTGATGTCTTATACACCGGGGACTTCAGATTAACTCTAGACAACCTAACTAAGATGCCTAACTTATCTCAATATCATTTGTTAGTGATTGCCTGTTTGATCGTCTGTCTGTCTGTGTGCATATCTATCTGTCTTTGTGCATATCTGTCTGTGTGTGTAATCTATAATAATCTATAATGTGTAATCTCTCTCAATAACATTTGTTAGTAATGGTTTGCTTCATTTGTTTGTTTGTTTGTTTGTCTTTCTGTCTGCCCAACTTGTTTTTCTTTTCATTTTACTGTTTGTCTGCGTTTTATGTTATTTCTTAGTAGTGAAAGAAAAAAAATTTTAAATCATAAAATAAAATCAAAGAAATTTGTAGGAGTAGTAATCTTCTTGGCGTTTTTTTTAGTTTTGTAAATGTTTACATTTGATTTGTTTATCAAGTTTTTGAGGAAAAATTTTCATAAGTAGAACTGCTTTTTAAATAGCTGATTGATTGGTCGATTGTTTGATTGATGGATTGATTGAATGATCGATCAATTGATAGATTAATTAATCATTCAATGATTTATTGAATGAATGAATGAATGATTGATCGATTGATTGACCAATTTATTGTGTGAATGAATGAGTGATTGATTGATTGTTTTGGATAAATCATTTATTTGATTTAAAATTTAAAACCACAGAAATCCCAAAACCTTGAAATCCGTCTACATGGATACGACGTTCTTCAATCCCAAAACATTCTTCATCCCATCCCGAGAGGACAGTCTAAAACTAACCTGTGACCTGATTTCTGATTGGCTGAAAATGGGTCGGGACAGACTGGTGACCCTGAAGTTCAAGGCCTCTCTTGGTTATGAGTTTTTATTACTTGGGCTTTACAAGCATTTCAACGAGAAGGTAGTTCCTGTGTTTTTTTTAGTTTAATTATAAATTTATTTAAGTGAATGAATACGTGAATGAATGAACAAAACGAATGAACGAATGAACGAATTTAAGTGAAATGCGTGGATGAGTTAATAAAAATTAAGTAATTTGAGATAAGTGAATGATGGCTTGATTTCTTTGAACGACTGATAGAATAAACTAATGAATGAACGAATTGATGGGTGAATGAGTGAATGGCTGGATAAATGAATGTCTGATTTATTGAAAGAATAAATAAATGAATGGATGAAACAATCATTGAACAATCAATCAATCAATCTTCGTTTTGCGTCCAGAGACCCGGTTTCCCGAGGTAGGACGTTGAATCATTGAACAAATGAATGAATGAAGAACGAATGATTGAATGGCGGACGCATAATTGGATGAATGAATGAATAAAAAGTTACCCAAATCTAAACTAGATATTCTAGAATAAACGATGCAAACCCATAAAACAACTGCAGATCCATGTCAGTGACTCCAAGTTAGAGCAATGTTTACGCATTGGTCTGTTGGACGAGTGTGTCACCGTACATCCTGCTAATCTCAAAATTCATGCTTGTGATAGCTTCAGGGTTAATAATGAATAATTTTTGTCTTTTTTTTCAATTCATGAATTATTCTTTACTACTTAATATTGTGTAGTATTGTTTTAGTATTTTTTAAACTTGCTGCTTGTTATTAATTAATTTATTATTTAATTATTGTCATTATTTGTTTTATATTTGTTATTTTTATTTTAATATTATGTTTATTTAGGTTTTTAATTTTCTTATATTCGTAATAAGTTTCACGTAACATTTTGTTCTTTCTTGCGTGTCTTCATTTATTGTCAGTACACACAAACTCACTCACACACAAACACATACACACACGCTCACTGCACAAACACACACACACACTCACTCTCACACACACACACAAACAAATACACACATTCACACTCACATACACATACAAACTTGAGCAACTTTTTTGATTAATTGTTTGGTTATTCCGAGGACATTGACCTAATTTGGCCGTATTAAATAGAAAGAGAGTGCGAGAAGGAGAGAGAAAGAGAGGGAGAGAGAGAGGTGGATGGCCTTAAAGAAATTTTTCCAAATCCAAATACACATTTCCGTTGTTCTATTACATCCTGTGCCAAATAAAAATACCATTTTGTGATGTTGATGCATGTTGAGATAGACTAATATGTGAGTGAGTGAGTGAGTAAATGAGTGGGTGGTCATTAATAAAATTTTTGTGCTCGCCGCGCTCAACCTCTGGAATTGAGGATGGTGATGTTATGTTCGTCATGATGATGATAATGAAGATAAGTGATACTGATAACGATGATGNATAATGATGATGATGAATAATGAGGATGGTGATGATGATGATGATAGGTATATTAGCAATGGAGACGAATCATTA